GAATGATAAAAGGCCCTTTTCACACACAAGTCATGGTAGGAAAAGCAAAACTGGTGTTACTAATAACATCACTTATAACTAATATACTAATATACTAATAACAACTACTTTGGTCTATTCAAGTGTCCTAATACTGAATGGAATTCAGCTATCATATTAATCTTATTATTTACACCTGGGCTTTCCCCACTGTCACATGTCAAAATGTCGTCTGTGAAAAAGGCCGGTAGGACGTTAAGGTGGGCATTGAGAAAGCCTGATGCTTACTAACTGCTGTATGTGTTAATTTATACCAGCAGTTACTGAAAGTGCAGAGGAAGAGAGGCTTCTTGGATTTGACTGACATGTATGCTTAATGATCTTTGCAAGATGTCCTTTATTACACTGTAAAAAGCAAAATGTACTTATATATATATATATATAATGTGAACCACATTATACATAAGTACATTTTGCTTTATCCTTTCTTAATGAATCAGAATCACAGTTAATGATGTTATTAGTTACTGCTGTGCTCGAACAGAGTCTAAATGTCTGCCGTAAAAACAGGTCCACTAAACTTTAGTGTTACTGCACATTTACCCACCAACAGAGCCCAGCCCCAGTTTCTAAACCAGTGTCCTAACCAAAAACGTGTATGTAAAAACAACTAATTAACGACATACCAAAAAATGGTTATATTTCTATCAAATCACATGTGCCAAAAGGAGAGTTGAATCCTTCCCCGTTGGAAGTGTACCTAATGTCTGGTTGTGTCCCCAGAAGATGATGACAGTTTCAGAGACAGAGTTGATCTGAGCTGTAAGAAGGACATCCATCTGAGAGTCTCCGTCATAGTCCCCAGGAACCACACTGGTGATGATGGTCTCACTGAACAGGAAGATTGGCCATTAAAATGTGCTTTTTGAGTCACCTCCTCATACAGACGAACCAAAGGAAACAAGGACATGACATCTATCTCAAGTGTGCATGGCATGGAAAAGCACTTGTACCTTGGGAAAAGGTCCTTAGTGATGTGAACTTTGGGTTTGAAGTAAGGTGCTTTCGAGTCAGCCACGAATATCACCACTTCAGACTCTGAAACAGTCAGACACCAACACCGCACAGTTCAGCATGTAATTAAAGCTCATTATATACCCACCACAAATGTTTTCATGAAGCTTCAGCAAAGGGCTTACAGCACAGAGCCATATGTTTACACAGTGTAGCAGAATATCAGTCGAGGTACAGTGTTATCCATTGTTATCCAGAGAAATGTAAACTCAGTGTGTGCTGCAGGATCAACGATAGCACAACTTACGCTCTCTGATGATGAAGATGTCTGTCTGTTTATCGGCGTAAATGTCTCCAAACGCTGCCACTGTCCCGTAGTTTTCACTACCGAAAAGGTCGGCAGTCACATCCTGAAGAGCAAATGTGTTATACTGCCCCACAAAAAGTAACAAAAATGCCAAAATGTTTGATTTAAATATCCACATCCTTATGCTAGTGCAGCTCCTCACAACAACACCAACTGCAATACGGCATCCGGCTGTACGGCAGGGTGAAATAGCAGATTTATTCCACCTAATGATGCATTTCATTAAAGGACAACTTTAAATCCAGACATCTGCTCTGCTATTTTCATTTTATCCGAAAGATGTGGAGGTATTGCGCTGAAATAAGGATAAACGATGGTATATTAGAGTCTCCTCTTTTACGTCAGTGTCGTGCTCACGGGTAGTTTGACAGTTGACAACTGTGTCAAGTTAAAGACAGTTAGCGAGGGCAAAACCGGAAGTGAAGAACGATTACCTTCAACTTAAAAGCGTGAGATTAATTAAAATGGAAAAAAAAACGTAAAGTGAACACAAATATAAGAGGTTGAATCTTATGAACGGGATGTGAAATTTAATTAATTGCCAATTCAAAGCTCCCGTCAACGTTTTTTAACGTTACCTTTGTGTTTTTCAGAATGTTCGCCGAGTGGAAGCCCGAATGCCCGTATTTTATTTTGAAGGACCACACCGGAGATCCTTTAACCTTTCTAGTTAGTTTGACACTGTGTAAACATGGCGAGCCTGGCAGATGTCGGCTGGAAACTCCTGGAATTCAAAGCCCGATCAAAAAGATCAGGTCTGACTCATTACTTTGCATGACATCGTTACGATGTGACACTCCCGATTGTTGCTGTTGTGCCAGTGCTTGTGTGAGGTTGTCCGCTTGTAAAGCCACTGAACACGGGCTTCTGTTTGACTTGATCTGCCCATTTCAATTTGTCCACTACAGGGACGGTACAAGCATGAAAGGTCAGAGGTGTAAATGTGCAGCACTGGGGGCTATTTTAAGAGGCTCTCAACAGGTCTTCTTTCGCTGTTACATCTCACCCATAGTTAACTGTACTGTGTTTAATGGAGGGTGAGCACAGGGCCTGTGGAGACTGCCACACTGTGCTGTTCTTTCACTGGTGCTCAGCCTTGCACTCAAAGGGAAGTCATCACATGTAGGATCATCCTTATTTGTAGTGATACAGCTGAGGAAAAACCACATGAATTATGATGGTCTTTGCAAACTAACACACTTTGGGGTCGCACACACTATTTTTAATTCATATAAGAGTGCCGACATTGTATCCTTAGCTAGTATTCTATCTGTACTTCCTTGGCTGTAGTCCTACTTCTTTGGTGTGTTAAATATAGATTTCATAACATTGCACCTCCACAAATCATTTAGTAGTGTCATGGTAACTGCTGTTGGAAAAATCAGCATCTGCTAAAAGGCAACTTGCAAAGAAGGAAAACACACGTTTAGAGCAAGAGCTGTGACTTTCCATTAATTAGAAACAATTTAATGAGGTGCATCGTTAGCACTACAGCTAAAGCAGTACAACTGTCTCTTAATTAACTTACCGTATGTAGTTATTCTGTTAAAGTCTTTCTCATAATTCATCATGACTCTATCTCTCTCATTCCTAAGCAAATATAATGTAATTCATGATCATCTCCACCCAAGTTGTAATTCATTGTTGATTTGTGCATGTCTAAAATCTAACGCTGTGCTACTAACTCCTTCCTGTGAATTGCTGTAGATTTGTGATTTAGCTGAGAGAGACGATTGGCCTTAATTTCACCTTTTGAGAATGGCCGGTTCAGTGGCCGCGACTGCCCGGCCTCATCGGAAAGTCCACAGGCTTGGTAAGTAGTGGCAGCAGATCTGAGGAAAACAATACAGTCAGCCACACACAGAAGGCCAGAGAGGACATGGGTAAAGATCACAAGAAAAGCATTTCGTTGTCTGGACATAATTGTAGTCAAAACATAATAATGTTCACAGGAAAACAGGTTTTTCCTTCATACGCTGTGAAACGGAAATCACAAATAGGGTTGTTATTCATCTATTTCCTCAATATTTTGTGAAGTTGACATATTGTTTCATTATGGCTACTTTATTGCCTGGTAATACGCAAAACATAACATAAACATGACTTATGTTGGTTTAGCAGTGGGCATAATGGTCTTGTTCCTCCACTGTAAGCATGAGAGACCGATAAGTGACACAAAATAAATGTACTGTATTAATGAAGTCATATAGCACACTGCATCATAACAGTATTAGAGGTCTGCATCACTGAAGTCCGTCATGAGATTGTTTAAAACTGTCCGCACAACGACTGCCCACATTTGTCTGATCTAATGTTAGAAATTAAAATTGGAATATTGGACTTCCTCTGTGCTCTTTTAAAGTGTTATCTTTAAAAAGAGATGGATTGGCTTTGTCCCCTGCAACTTTTAAGCTGATAGAAATTATGCTAATTTCAGCCAGAATGTGAATTTTTCAGTACCTGTGGTATTGACCCAAGGTCGAACCTATTAAAATGCAAATCTCAGCAAAGTGAAAAGTGTCTGAAAATAGAGAAAGTCTAACAGATAGGGGCTTCCCTCAAACTCTGGCTCTCTCTCAGCTCAGAGGAAAATGTTAGGAAATAGCTGGTGCCGAGCCACATTACCATTTGAATTTTTTGCTCCAGGCCTGAATATTGTTTTGTGTGCTGAGCCCTTTGTTATGGTGTGTGTTGCAGTGAAATACTGTTTTACTGATGGCATGTGTCTATTGTTGTTTTGTTGTTTTCTCTGCTTCTCATTTTCTCTTGTATTCGGAAATAAGAAAATGTGATGAAAAAATGAAGGTATTCAAAAGCTGTTGCTACCTGCAGACCTTTTTACGTCTATATATTGGAATATATGAAATAAGACTATTGTCTCAAGATTGGAAAAAACAGGAATCACTGTGTAACTGTAAGATGAAAACCATGGTCCTTTTAAAATTTTAGTCAGGTTTAAAGCATTATGTTGATGAATGTGAGGGAACAGGATTGAAACCCACTTTTAAAGATTTATTAAATATTCATGAGACAACTAAGGCATGAAATAGATTGTAGGTCATTATAGAGAAACAGCAACACTTGTACACTTTGAGTGTGACAGATGTGTTTTCCCTCAGGTTCTATCTATGAACCTCTCAAGCTGTCCAATCTCCAGCGTGAGGATGAGCCCCTGTGGGAGAAGCTGGACCGCTACTACAGTGCCGGTAAGTACACTTAGTCACTATTGACAGCCTGTCAATAGTACGAGGCTGGGGTCACCTAAAAGTAAGAGCTGCAGGTATCTATAATGCAAAGCTATCTGAAACAAATGGCCCTGCTGTGAACCACCAAACCAACAGTTTTACCAAGTGCAGTGTGTGTGATTGAACGCCATCAGGTCAGATAGGAAAACTGCTCTTCACACCGTGTTCCGGGAATTGATTGTTTTTCTCTAAAGCTGGTATCCCACCTGAAGCACGGCCACACTGTTGAGTGAATGTATGTGACTGTAAAGGCCACAGTTGTTCTGTCATTTCCAATATCCTCAAATAGCAGCCTTGGGTATAGTGATTACATCTTGCAGACATACAGTATTGTTTGGAGAGAAATTGTTCTCGGCTGGCAAGATAAAAGCTAGGATGGGGGTTCCCAGGTGTTATGAATGCTAAAACATTTACCCATGAATTTAATTCCACACAAAGGTGCCCTGGCTTGGCTTGGCACTGCACTGAACTCAGCTGGTAGTGTTTGGGAGTGGGAAGCCAGTGAGTGATCACGTGGGAGCTGCGGCACTAGATAATGTTATGGGTTGGTCAGGGCCTTTTTCAACAATAATAGAAGGGTGGAGACAGCATGAACCTTTGCCTGCATGCCTTGGTCAAGAAGATCCTATGATTTTCCACCACACAGGCGCACAGGATTTAGTGCACATGATGGTTCTATTATTTTTCAAACATATTACCAATGTCAAACATCACAGCACAAGTCTAAAAGACCCAGGAGCCGGTTGTATCAACTGTTCGTAAACCTGCAGTGCAGAACCTTTGTCTCCCACTTCTGGCAGTCAGAGTAATGACACAAACACTAGGGGTCGCCAAATCTTCACGGGGGTCGCCTGGCCTTCTTGATTTTAATGCGTTTTAATGCATATCTCAGCTCATTTCTGTGAAGAAAAAACAAAATTGTATTTTTCTTTAGGTTTAGATAGTTTAGATAGTATGTATGATTCTTAGAAAATAAAAAAATACATAATACAGATGTAGAATTGTATAAAATTAACAAGAAAACTAATCTCTGATCAATATTCACAGAAAATAATCTGCTCAAAATGAATCCAAATCTCTCCTTTTACACAAAATTCCTGCAGTTATTGTGTTCACTGTTTGGTTTCATTGTACAGTTTATTAGTTGTTCTCTACTGTTATTGTTAAACATCGAATATAATTCTGAAACGCATATTTCTCTGTGAATAAAGATTAAAAATAAAACTAAGTTTGTCTCAAATGACTAGTTTTATGTATTGGAGATGGATTCACGAGGAGCTGCTGCAATCCGATCCAGGTGACGGTTCTGGCATGTGTAATCAGTAAAGCAGTCTCCAGCCTCAGTGCAGGAGAGATAAATACACATTAGTCCTGATTACTAAATTACCTGCAGCTGTGACTGCAGCACTGTGCAAGCCAGCGCTAGCTCCCAGTACACACAGCTAAACATATAGCATCCTCCGTTTCACACTTCTCTCAGATCCTTATTCTTTATTCTTCCCCATTAGCTGCCGCCAAGGTAGCAGCTACTGTACCTGGGGTCCACACACAACAACACGTGCGTACATAACTAGAAGCATACAAAAAGTCCCATTGGGATCATACACAGGCACGTGAAAGTCAAGTAAAAACCTAAATTGCCCCTTTGGATGAAGTGAAACCAGCTTCAGGCACTGTTGCCTGTTCATCATATGAATCATAGTACACAAACTGAAAGCTAGAGTTGTCTCAGCCTAAAACATTTTTAAATTTCCTCATTCCCTCAGTATATATAGTGTTGCCCAAATACAGGCTGGTAATACACCCACGTTTACTATGGAAGTGAAGATCCCATTCACAAAAACTGAATTTGGTTTGAAGTATTGCTGCCATGTTTGCCTGTGTGACTGGGCCATCTGGCTGGCAGAAGGTTAAACACCAAATTTGAAATGTTAGCAAATTGCTGTCATATTAAGTGCCGCAATGCCAGATCTGATCTGTTTGTTTAATGAAAGACCTTTCTCGTGGCAGAGGTTTTGACTTGTCATTTCATAAAAATCTCAGGTGTAACTAATGGCATTAATGATGGTTCCGTTCCACTTAGGTGTGCCAGTAAGTCATGCCAGTGAGCCAGCATGCACAGTAGCAAGGCCCTGGCACGGCAACGCCTAAACTGAATGCAGCCGTTATTAATCTTATTAGTCATGCCTGTGTTTGACAAGCGAAAGTGAGTGCTGTGAGAATGGTCTGTGTCCACACCAGATTAAGCAGTTTGCAAGCCTTGTTGAGAAGAGATGTGGCTGGAGGAAAAGACGAACAACTAATAAGTTGATGTTATTTAAAAGTTATAGGTGGTAGTATACTGGGAACTTATAGGAATTTAAGTACATCCCCCCCCCCTCTCCCAGTAAAATCAATACAAGTAGAGCCAGAGAGCAACTGAGGGGATAGGCCAAACACACCACTCCTTCTGCAGATAGAGTTGACTTTAGTGTGCAGGAGGCAGGATCATGTGTTGCCTCTGGCTGTGTGTGGCTGTGAGATTATCGTAATACAGCTCAGGATGCGGTCCCCAAGGATCAGTGGTGATTTTGCCACTGTGGACATAAGCTTGGCTTTTCTCAGTTGCTTTTGTTGAGGTAACAAAAAATGTACTATACGGTACAGCAGAGAAATCTTGACATGCTCTTAAGAGGAATGTCTGAGCTTTTAGTGCATTCAAATTCAAGATTTTGTTTCTTTTTTATGTGTAATCATACATTTTTGATAAACCAAGTCCAGATTTGCCAGCAGTCGTGTACTGTGTGTAGTTGTAGAAATCTCACAAACATACCTTCATTTATAATTACTGCTATGCAGAAAGGTAAAAGGTGCTTGGAGCTCGCCAGTGTGTCTCTGCCTATGACATTTAAGGGATCGCACAAAACTTCTCCTTACAGTGACCTTGAACTAAGGGCTGTTCAAAGGTCCAGTGTGTAACATTTAGGAGGATCTCTTGGCAAAAAATAATGTAATATTCATAGTTATGTTTTCATTAGTGTATAATCAGCTGAAAATAAGATTTGTGGTGTTTTTGTCACCTTAGAATGAGCCGTTTTATATACAAACGGAGAGGGTCCTCTTCTACGAAGGGCCGCCATGTTTCTACAGTAGCCCAGAACAGACAAACCAAACACTGGGTCTAGATGGGGCCAGCATAGTTTCTCCTGCATGCTTGGAATAAGAGGGTGAGGCGAGGAGGTTGTAATCTGCAACTACACTGCTAGATGCCACTAAATCCTACACAGTGGTCCCTAAAAGGTGGGCTAAATTGGCATTACTTGGCAGACTTAAAACTGCCTTCATGCTAAGCTACAGGGTCCCACTGAATTTTACAGACTCCTAAAGGTAAAAAGCCCTTCCCCTAACGTCAGAAGAAACTTAGCGGCAATCACGTGGAGTAGCACATCCCGAAAAAGAAAACCTTTACAAGTGGTAAGAGCCAAAGCAAATGGCTCAGCCAGTCACAGTCAGGTGGATGTGAGAGGGAAAACTCATTGCTGCACGGCACCAGGCTGAAGTTAGTTAGATAATCACCAGGAGACACACGCCTCACCCACCAAAGTCTGCATCAAGTTAGTTTAAGGTTAGATATCGACCGGCTTGACTTGTATCAATACTGTAGCTTTGTGCTGTTTGCATCAATGACTGTGATGAGGCAGAAAGTTAATGTAAAGAGCTCTGCCTCAGTGTATGCAGTTGCACTGTTGCCTGTTCATCATATGAATCATAGTACACAAACTGAAAGCTAGAGTTGTCTCAGCCTAAAACATTTTTAAATTTCCTCATTCCCTCAGTATATATAGTGTTGCCCAAATACAGGCTGGTAATACACCCACGTTTATATTGCAGGAAACCTTTTTATGACCGATGTTTATGATATTAGAGTCACGGTATCCACAATACGTAGAAAACATTGTCGAAGTGATAGAAATTTCATAAGGGCTATGAATAGTGGAAAACAAAAGATTTTTTGAGACAGACAAATCACAGCTCTGGATGAGGATTTGGCTCTGGCGCTGGATTTACTTAAGACTTGCTAGCAGTAAGCTGTAATATGTTTGTGTGTCTTGTTGTTTTCCATTCTACAATTTATACAGAGTAAAGCCGAGTGTCACTGCCTCCGACCCAGGTGTGGATTGAGGGATTGTTAATGTGTGAAAGCGTCCGTTCTGGGCCGGATGCACCGTTTTCTCACATGAACACACTTCTGGCAGATGTGACACAGCCGGTTGGTCTGCCTTGATGAAGACAGGGCAGCTTGTGTGTGTGTGTGTGCGTGTGTGTGTGTGTGCCTTCCTCTGTTGGTTTGGGTGTGTATGTTATGTGCCGTCTGTCTAATGGTTGCTGGGTATTTATTAGGCTGCACATGTATGCGTGTTTTAGAAAATGACTGAGGACGATAAACAGAGCTTAGTGTGCAACAGGTGTAGCTCTCAGTTGGAACTGATTTGCTGCTATCAGCGAGCACAGCGTAGCCTCCAGCATCAGCTGCGTTGAAAAGCCCAATAGATTTACGGAGAAAAGCCTTCCGCCAGATTGCAGTATGTCGAAAACGCAGCGTTGAACGTTGGGCTTGTTTAATTGTTGTGTTGGGGGTGGCGGCTCGAAGCGCTTGTCCAATTCTTGCGAGGAACAAAGCCAACATTGTTATCGCCGGCACCCAGACCTGCCTGCCAATATACCTGCTTTCTTTCACTCTCTGGGAGGAAAAAAGGATGGAGAGGGGTGAGGTTGGGGTGACAATGACAAATCAAACCAGTTGCAGTTTTCCTCCTTTCTCTTTCTTTGCTGTTTTGTTGCAAAGCTGCCCCCAGCAGCCTTAAGCCTATGATGCTGTTGTGATAGGGGACTTTTTTTTTCTCTTATCAAGAAAAGAATACCAGAGGAACATTTGTCTCAACCTCTCATAGTTCATCACTCCATCATCTCTCTCGTTCCCT